AGAGAGAGCTTGAGATTTTTAGGATGGCATGCAAATAAGCCTCTCCCGGATGTCTCCAGGGTTCGATTTGGTTTAAAGTTATTGCCCAGTGTCGAGTGGAATCATCGTTCGCGAATTGACGGGACACACGTGCCAACTTTGTCATCATAAACGAAGTTAGATTTTATCCAATATTGTTGTGTATGCTTCTCTCCATTTTTCTCATGAATATCGATTTTTATTTCATGCTTGGCTTATTTCTTCCAAATAAACTTATTGAGTTTTATCATTTACTTTATTTTCCAATTAAAAAAAAAACATATTTCTCATTAATAAAAAATTTAATTCAACATTTTTAATATTTATTTTTATTATAATTTAACTTGATAATATTTTTCAATTTACTCCATTATTTTTAATAAAAAGAAAGTATTTTATTGTTGATATTTTTTTTTGGTTTTGGACTGTGAAGAGGAAAAGGAATTAATTTAATGATATAAATTGATATAAAGGAAAATGAATAAATAATGTTTTAAATGAAAAGTAGATATTAATTTAATCAGATGGTATGAATTTAATGATGAGGATTAAACGAAGTAGTTAGACAAGAAACAAACGTCTCATCTATATATAGTCATCTCGAAGACCGCAGGGAATTAATCAAGATCGTTTTAGGGTGGAATAAAAATGAATATTGATTACCCGTAAAAAAATGTCATCCGAGAAAAGAATCATATCTCTCGTCCACAAGCGAGTGCTTCCAAATGGAAAATCAAACTACCAATCTTTTTTTTTTTTTCTACTCTTCATCTTCTATTCTTTCACTTCTAACCACCAACTATAATCAAGAGTCCATTGCTTTATAATGAATAAAAATTATAATTACATTCCTCCACGACGTGCTGTGGAAAAGAAAAAAGTTAATCAATCACAAGTAAACCAAGGAAGACATTTCTCCCTTATTCGTTGCTCAACTTAACTACAAAGTAAAGAAGAGAAAAAACTTTATCCTAAACGGATTCATTCACCAACTCCATTAACAATATCGAGTTTTCACGATAATTACCTCTTAAACAGTCAACTTTTCTCCCTTTGCACTAGTTTTTTTTTTTCTGGTGTTATAGCAAGTGTATGTATGGAGGGCGAAATAATCTCATGAGGGTTCGAAATGAAGCCTCGAACGAAACGATTTCCATTCGATTTGCTTCTGAACAAGTTAAACGTTAAATGTTGGCATATATAGAGAGCAAAATGGTGAGATGGAATATGAAGAAATAGAGTGAGACAGAGGGCAAAAGCCCATGCATACAAATGGTATGCTAACAAGATACATTTGTCTATGGCAATGGTTCTACGGTGTGGTTCTTGGCATTTCGACCGCATGTGTTGCTTCAGGGTGCACGAGGAGAAAGAGTAAGGGATGTTATTTGAATGGCATAAGAGCTGAGGGGGGAAGCAGAACGATGTCTCCCTCCTCAAAGTACCCCCAGACTTACTTCCCCTCCGTTAGAAGTAAATTTATAGATCGATTATAGACTTCGGTCATGATTGGAAACATTTGCATGGCGCAGGTTACAAGAGTACAAGCCTGTATGCTCCACCACATCGTTCATGAATCATCCGTGCCAACTGCTCTCTCATGGTTTCACGCGATAAACGCTCCTGGGTTCTATACTCTCACGTTACACTGTCGAGTTGTCTTGACTTTTCGTTTTATTTTCCAGCTACTCTCTGGCTCTATCACACGCCCTTGAGCTTCTTGGCCAGACATTTGTTTTTTGTTAGTGATATTCTACAAGTTTTAACTTTGTCTCAGCACTAAAAAGACCGCCTGAGAGGTTATTAAAGGTTATTACTGGATGAGATATGTTTTTGTTAAGATATGTATGAGACAAGGGTTCATGATCAAGCATACACCAATTTTCTCGAGATGCTTTTGATTAATATAGAAAAAGGTTTTAATGGCTGATATTTTTAGGAAGATAAATGTAGAAGTTCCTTAATGGTATAATATCACCTTGTCAATAGTAATTTTTCAACAAAGTCCAATAATTTCATTCAATATAAACTGACAAGTATATTATATGCAATTGTTTTAGAATAATGTTTCTTTTGCTTCTGCTCCTGAATGCTTCATGCTAAAGATATAAACCATCACTCCAATTGGGCCTTCAATTGAATATATCTAAACTATATTAATAAATAAATAAATTTATTAATAGCATAATTTAATCAATTCTATAATTCACTAAGTGTATTTTTTTATCATTTAATTTTTCTTCTTCATACATCACTCCATGTTTACAATAATTTTTTAGCTCATCATTATGATGATTTTTGATGAAAATGTTAAGGAATATTTATTCATCGTCATCGTTGTAAAGATAATGCATAATTATTTACACTATAATTTTTTATCAAAAGATTTTTATAAATTTTCAATTTTCTATAGCTGAGACAAATTCTTTATTCGTTTTTATTGCAAATTTAATCAATTCAGTTCTTTGTCCAGTACTTTTCGCCGTACTAGGAGTTTCACTTGTGCACAATATTCACGGGTTTATGTTTTATCGGAAAGTCCAAGTCCGTCGTATATAGTCCTGCACAAGAAAGTATAAAAGAGTGAGAGAGGTATGCAAAGAAAGAAAGATGACGTGCAAACGCAAAACCTCGGCCAGTTCTGAACAGGCGTCCGTGCCTTGGAGAAATTAATTTTAACTTTAAATTAAGACTCGTGCTGATACCTGGTTGGTTGGCTTTGTTGCCTTGCTTGAGCGGAGGAGGGAAAGAATAGGGCTCTGAATCGTGAGATGCTTTTGTGGACGGGGAAGACAACTTTTCCCGCTCTTTTGTTTACTGTAAACGAGAACATTGTTATAACGACTTGAGTTGTGTGCCCGACTGATATCAAACTTCACTTATCATCCATGTGATATTCTTCCTCATTATTTATTCTGCTGATCATTGAGAAACCCCTTTCAATAATCATCTTTTATTGTCTGAAATATTCTGGCTTTGAAAATGCTCATTTATTATACTCTTACATTTTTTTAATCATCCCCTCTAAATGAAATAGTTTCATTCTTTAATTCAATGTCAAAACTGCTAAATTTGGTACGAAATAGTGTAATAGACAAAGACTAGCATCATAGGTCAATTAATCAAGATAATGAGGACGAAGTTGAGTAGAACAGGTCTAAAAGGGGAGAGAAGCAAATGAGCGAACTAGTTACTTCTAACATAGGTACAGGGAATAAGAGAACGCTTAGGGGGTAGAAGAGATGAGCCGCCGTATGTACGAGACATCCGACACCTCAGTTGAACGATCCTGACAATACCGAAGATACGCAACTTGGCGGTGAACTTTGCCGGCGTGGCTTCCGGATAAGCAGGCTAACTTGAGTGAAGCATGATTAATTAATTAGCTAGACCAGTCCAGCTGGAGATGAAGCGTAGAAAAGGGATCTAGGGTAGACGATAGCCTTTTACATCCTGTTCTAAAGATGTATAGCTTTCCATAACCCAGCTATTCCATGTTTTATTAGCTAATTCTGTTATTTACCAAGATCCTTTCATTATTAATTGTTAAGATTAGAGTAAACACGAGTTTTTGTCATGGATTTTTGTTCAACTTGAACCTCTTCATCGTCCTAGCATTTTAAATACACACTACAAGCATGTAGCCAAGGTAAGATAGCAACTGAGACAAAAAACCACACTGACCATGTCCTGAATCCTATCTAAGATCATTATCATCTCGCAAATATTGCTCTGAATGAGTATGGGACAACGAAATGTCTCGATGGTACTTTACTATCTCCACTCGATTCTCGAGATCCCTCGACGTTTGTTTAAGATATCGCGAGTGGACATATATCCACTCCACTTAGTTTCTCTGGACTGGAGTCGTAGGTTGAAAAAGTCCATTGAAATAAAAAAACTGTTGAATAAAACGTGAATTCATTTTGTGCTAAGTAGTCATTTCATTGCTTTAACAATAAATCTACTAGTATTCTTTAAGTATTTTTTTCAACAAAGAATAAATCTTCATTGTTTTAATTTAGATAATCAATTATTTATGGATGAAGAAGCAGAAAAATTAATGTTTTAGTTGAATAGAAGAATACTTTTTTGATTTATTGAATTTTAATAGTTGGAGTTGTTATCAAAAAATAAATGCTGAATAATCTTTATTGATAATAATGTTCTAGTCTATCGCTTTAAGAAGCATCAGATTAACAATAGTTAGAGTTGAAAATACCGCAAGTTTCTTAAACGAGTATATAAACCATCCAAGTCCTCTAGAGAGTGGTATCTTGCAAAAGGAGAAGAGGACAGGACAAGCTGAGGAGTTATGTGTTAGTATCTTCAATAACTAGAGATTCTATTTCGTACTTCGACATCCCCAGGAGATTGGTTGTCCGTTCCGGATCTTTCGCAAACTTGCATCTAATACGGTAACCCAACCCTCAGTTCAATTCTTGGGTCTTGGGGTTGGTGTGCTTGCCAGAGGTGAGGCTACACCGTCTCTTTGCTTCACCCACCAGAGTCCACGTCTCTGAGTATAGAACTTGCGTAAGATAGTCCAAACATCGAGAACAAACATTAGGGGTTGAGTTGAGACCCAAAAGAGAGAGAGAAGGAAGTGTTTGAACACCAGAAGAGCTTCAACTCTCCTTCTCTCTTACTCATCAGCAGACTCTGACCGTCAGCTATGTTATGTCAAGCTACGTCTTGGCGTTGTAGCACGTCACACATTAACATAATGCTAATTATCTTGCTAGCTCATTAGCACCAGCAAACTGTCCGAGGAAACTCGGTCGCCTAAGATAAGAAGATAGTTCTCAGTATAAGTCACAATCATTGTACGTATGTATATTTACAAATGTTGAGACTTATGTAGCTAAGTTTATATATGAGAAATTTAATTCTCATGGCTCATAGTAATTTTAAAGCTAGACAAAGAATTGTATAGGTATGATTATTTTTAATTATAAAATAAACTGAGAATACATTGCATAATAATTATAAATAATGGATTACAATAAATGTTTATCATAAAAATCTTCACTTCAAATCTTGCCTTTGATATAAAAAACGACCATTAACAGGCTGAAGTTCTCTGTGATTATGAGTTTCACTATTCCAAAACTTGACGATTTTTTGGATATCTTCCATCTTAAAAAATTAGATTTGTTTAAAATATTTTCTAATGAGTAAATATTATCACAAATGTTGAAAAGTCTGATAACATTCATCTTACCTGCTGTTTATTGATATAATTTTCATAGGCATTTATAATCCATATGACATTTTCAGTACATGGAGGCCTAGTTAGTGATCCATAGTACATAAAATGTCTTGATACATCGAAGTCTGACTTCCGTAATAGACTGAAAGGAAATGGTTGCAAATCCACTGATGATCCAGGGTATTGTACATCAAACAGTTTCTGTATTATTCGATTTAGACCAATGGGAGAGACTTTCTCGTATTTCTTTGGCTCAAAACCCTGGTAAAAATATTGAACATTCACTTATTTATTACATCTCATCTATCCTAATAAATGCAAATCACCTTACAAATAAATCCGATATTATTGCCAATCCATCATAAAAATTCAGGGCATTGTGATAATTTCTATATCCACTTTTATAAAAAATTGATTGCATCTCCATTGGAGATCTAGTGTTGGTAATGAATAATTAGTAATTTATTTTAATAAACCATTTCTACAGACGTTCATACTAACTTTTTATCAGTAATTTCATGTTCACTTCCTTCATCACTTCTAGAATCCCAATGAAATATTATTGAATCCAGCTGATATTGACCAGGAAGTATACCACCACTGATAGTTGGAATTTTTGGACCCCATTCAAATGAAACTTTTACTAAAAATTACCATCAATAAATTATCTAAACATAACAATTGAAATGAGATAATAAATGCTGTTGACTTACTGGTATGTCCAATATTGGATAATTGGACACTTATAGGAAGTTGATCAAAATTTGTGCCCATCAAACGCTCATATGTATTATTATGTTCATCAGTCCAATTCACATAAGCTTTCATAAGATCCATAGGTGACTGTCTGTTGCCACCACATGCAGGATAATTTTTAATCCAATCATCAATATAGTAGTAACTAAAACCTAAACGAAAATTGTACTTACCAAAGCTTCATTAAAAATACTATAATATATCTTTTAAATGAAATTACTAGTAATCTAACCTGTTCTTCCGTGTTTAGTTTTTGAACTCTGCCATGGAAATCTCCAGAAAATATATAGAATTATGCATAGTATACAAACATAAAAGATTTGTTGGATCTGAGGTACTTTCTTCTGATATCTCATTGCTTAAAATAATGAAGTTAGATTTATTTATTTTTTTAATTTCCAACTGTAACGAAGTAGTAGAACAATTTCATGAGTGCTATTGTAATAAAAGAAGTTACCTAGACTTCTATTATCGACGTTATCAGAAATTGTATAAGCAGACAATTGCCTTCGATTATTAATAACGATGCCAACTCACTTAAGTTCAATATCATGCACACTTTTCTTTATGTTTACATTTCAATATGCTGAAAAGGAGCAGTTCCAGTAGAACTGGTCCATCAAGATTTCAGGAAGTTAAACCTAAACTATTGAAGAATCTTTACTAATAAATAAAATTAATATTCTAATTCCTTGCATTGTTTTTATGCAAAAATAAAAAACTTTAAGTTCTTAAGAAGCAATAAATATAATTATTACTTTATTGTAAAATATATTAATTTCAAAATGGATGCACATTGAAAAATTCAACCTTAAAACAATACAAGTACATTTATTATGAAAGCTTCAAGCATTATCATGTGCATTTATTTTCATGTAATTGCTTCTAATTATCAGCAGTAAAAAAACAACTATAAATAGTCATTTATCATTTTACCTTTTGAATATATTAATACTTTGCTCTATATAATTTGTAATAAACAATAATGCTTTGATAGAGAACTTTAATTACTTAAAAAAAAAAAATTTTATAGAGAAAAAGGATAATTTATTTAACGAAAGTTATCTTGTAAGAAGAAGCTGTTTATTTCAAATCTTCTTATATCCTTCTCTTGGTTTCTTCTTCACCATCTTTGCAGTCTTGCACAACGAGCTGCAGTGACAGAAGCTTTTGTCTTGGCTGGGCAGCCATCTTAGCTGCACTTGAATTGTTTCAGCCTTAATTGGAGTTGCAAACGAGGTTTCTTAGTCCTGAACAAAGTATCCTTGTCTTTTAATATATTTTTAATTGTTTTTTTTTTGTGTTAATTTTTGTTGCAAGTCTTGATCTTTGATCCGCTAGGGAATCAGGGTATTCTCTGGAGATTTTATGTTTAATTAATTCAATATCAAATGAATAAGACCAATAATCAATACGTAATTTAAAAGTGACTGGAAATAGAGTAATTCATGTTCGTTAATCAAATACCATTCCCAAGGAGAGTAAGAGCTATCGGCTTGAGCTGACTGTTGGCCGGTTGACATCAAAGAGGGCATGATGCTTCCGTGTTAATTAGTGTCACCCACTATTTGCATATTGATTGAAGAGAACGTGTCGCGAGGCTCAAAACTAAAACCCTTTCTCACTTCAATTCGTTGTCCTCTTTTTCTTTCACGCGTGCGCTTCTCTCGAAGCTTGCAATCTCTTCTTATAACCATCCTGTGATACAACACCAAGTGTTCAACTTCTTCTGTTGTTCTTAAATGATGTGACATGGCATTGAGTTTGCCTCGACCTCAATTCACTTTGACTCGAATTTTGGAGTAGGAACTACGTTCTCTATTCAATTTTAGGAAGCGAGGAGATTTATTTTTAATTTTTCAATGAATTCATTTTATCCAGGTTAATCTACTTTTCCACGTTCATTTCAGATTTAGGCTTGCTTTATTGCATTTTTTATCAAACTTTGGTAACTTTTTAACAATATAAATTCAGCATGCTTTTGAATGATATCTGCATGAATAGAATGATTGAGTAAAAGTTGGTCCACTGTCATATCCGGTGATATATCAGATAAATCAAGTTGGCTATCTCCAAAACCTTAAAATAAATCCGAATTTTAAATGCTACCAATTGCTATCATTGCTCTGCTCATTACATAAATGTTCATTAAATGAACCAGAGGAATTTTTTTTGTTCCAAAATAGCTATTTATAATTTATCCTTGTTCTATATCGAGCTAGTTATATTATGAATGATAATAATTATTTAATTATACAATTTATTATTCATCTTTGGACTGGATTTAAATTGGTACCGAAATAGAAGTTTTTGTATTATTAAAATTTTGATTCACAATCTTTTGTTCCGTGTATTTTTACTATTCATGCAATCAAATCTTTCTCAATAATATTTATCATTATTTTATTTAAACAATCTAATAGTTGTTTTTATTTATAAAAACTAATTGAAAGAACTGGGATTTAAAAAATAAAATGACTTGTGGATAAAAATTTTTGCAACAATGACTAAGAATTGATTTAAAAAATTAAATTAATTTTATTAAATACATCTATTAAATTTAATTTTAACGACATAAAAAAAAAATTGAATCTTTTTTACTCATTATCTATCCAAATATTTAAATCAGTCATTCATGAACTTTTTTCAGCTGTAAAAGCAGGGAGACAGAAGGTTCAACACGAGAATTTTCAATCACGATACTCACTCGTTCATTTTTAGTGTTGTGTACATCGAAAAGCCACCCTCTGCATCCGCCGCGTGCCAGAGTCTAACATATGAACGAATAGTGACTTTACAGTTTTAACCTGCGTCTATTCGATCACAAATTTAACCAGTAGTTCTATTAGAATCGGTTGTGTGCAGATTTAAAAAAAAATAGAAGAAAGGATGAAGAAGGAGTAAGAAGGAAAGAGTAATGTAGATCAGGCAAAGGGACAAGAATGTATGGAGTTTAAACGAGGGTGGAAAAGAGCGGGCCAACAATAGAGTGCAAGTCACTAGGTAAACGACCGGCAGGGAATTGTTAAAACGCCCCGCGGTCGTGCCTATTTTGATTTTCGACGGCGGTGTATCGAGCTTCCTGAAGGGGTAGATATTGCGATTTTCAAGTAGAGGGAACGCGGAGTAGCTTCTATGTACGACATTCAAAGCTGAAGTGAATGTTTTTTTTCAGCCATGACTTGACTGTTTTTTCTCTCGATATTTATCATTAAACATTCTCCAATTTAATATGATCATAAATTAGTTGAATACATGAATTTATTCGAATAAATATTTATCCGCAACAAAATCAAACATCAGGAATATTTATCCTCAAAAGGTTTTATTTATTCGAGCGGGATAAAATATTGGCTAATATAAATATCGAATGGGAATAAAAATAGTCGACGAGAGAATTGAGGCATCTCGCTGGTAAAATCCACTCCGCAATATCTCGAGGCGTAGAGAAGTCGAGAGAGAGAGAGAGAGATCCCGCGAGATGTGAACTCAAATGCTTGTGAAGGATAGCCATGGGTCAGGGGGCTATCAAGAAGTTCTTCTCATCCTTGCTCTTTTCTCACCGTCTCTCAACAAAGTATGTACCTCAAACGGTTCTCCCGCACCTCACAGAGGATAGATCGAGCCCTGGAGACCTCGTCGTCCGTCACGCGGAGTTGGACCTCCAGGCTCCCTCGCTTGCTCTATATTTTTATTGATTTCGATTACAGCTTCCGAGAGGAGCAAAAAAGGAAAATAAAACAAAGTAGACAAGACACTTCTCGCATCATGATGAAATATGTTGGCTCGTGTCCTTAAGCGGTTGTGTGCTCTTCTTTATTTTAATCATTTTTCTTGTTCTGTTTCTTCCAGTATGTAGAGAAATTGTTAAAATGAATCCAAATGAAAAATTCACAAAATGAATTTCTTTTTTATTTTTCTATCTGTAGTGTTATTTAATTCATCAAAAAAATTAAACTAAAATATCTAGAATCAAAACAAAATTGTTTTTCAATAAAAAATTTATTCTGTTTTATTAATACAATTTTTACAAAAGGGTAAATTAGCTTAGTGTAAAAATTAAAATGTTTTTCCTCAATCAATTCCAGTTGTAATGAACAAAAAATATCCATCAGAGTTATTGGAACAAACATTTAATTACTTTATCATGAAATTTGTATACCATAATGAATATTTATTTCTTCAATTTCCAATAATAATTTCCACTCCCCAATTCCATGGTTATTTTCAAGTTCTATTGAATCGTAAATTTAGATGGATAAAAAAAAATATTAAACCGGAGTGTTGATAGTATTGCTTATGTGATGACGAGAGATACATGAATGCACATAGGATTGGTGTGGTTTGAATTGAAGGACGTGCATAAAACCGTAATGCTGTCGTTCGATGGATATCGTCGGGCGAAAATAAGCAATTGACCTGGGGGATAGGCTGTCGGTACGCGGGTGGGAATGAAGCATCGCCATCGAGCCAACAAAACCCCGTTCGTTCGGTGGTCCAATATGCGGCTAATTTGCACAACAAATAAAGCTTATACTACGAATTTGCATGTGTTTGAACTGCAGTGTAATTGGGTGCTACGCTCTCGCTAGCCGTTGTCCATTTTCTCTCGCTCCGCGCTCTCCTCTCGTCAATCCTGTCACTGTTTCTCTCTCCACCCACTAGTGCTTTCACGTATGTGTATTCTACCGCGGCTCCAACGTGCTCTACGGATTTTGCAATATCGCGATTGGCCGATGATGATGCAGCCCTGATGGTCACCAGACTGTCTGTGAGAGCTCGGTGAGCAAGTGGAGATTGGAACGAAGAAAAAAAGATTCCATGCCTTACATCGATCCTAGAAGTGGTAACGGCTTGTAATCATAACATAAAAGCGATACAAAGATAGACGGCACGATTTTATATTTTATTTTTATTTTTTTCTTTCTTTTTACGCTTTTACCTACACTGTTGTAGTCGCCATCTTTGAATTAACGTCATCGACGAAGGGGCTGTCGTCACGCGCGTCTACCCTTATTGCAGGTGCTCCAACCCCTCTATCTGTTTGATCTCATGAAATGTGTAAATTGTCGCCATTTTGGAAATTTCTATGATATATGGTTCATGTCATGAAATTTGTATTTCTCCTTTTATTCATTATTTTTTGACGCTCGAGTAATAATAGGTGTTGGCATTTGATTGTTGGGAATTAAAACATAATCAACTTGTAGAGCTCTGTCGATTAAACAACTAGATGTTAACAGTAAACATAGTGCTCTTGTTGGTGTATATTGTGTAATGCTTCTGATGAAGTCATTGCCTCACTTTGTGTGTCCATGTCCGAATTGTATCGCATCTCCTATGTGTCTCTTCTCTTCACTCACGTTCTCCGTTTGTTTGGCGGCTCTTTGATGTCCAGTATATACGAGCCTAACAACTTCACTGAGTCTAGTTAGTTGTACATGTAACGGTTTGCAAGCTCTTATGGAATTTCACATTGACGTACGTGCCTAAGAATGTCCATCTCTAGAGTCTATAGGTCTTCTATAAGTGAGTCAGGACTTTATAGATACAATCGAGAAACTCTTTTCCATTGGAAATATTTTTTTCTATTTATTTCATGACTCATTAAACACGTAGTTTAAAAAAATGTAA